AAGCTTTTAAACAGAGGCTGGATGGCCATCTGTCAGGGGTGAGTTGAATGCAATATTCCTGCTTCTTGGCAGTGGGCTGGACTGGATGGCCCATGAAGTCTCTTCCAACTCTATGATTCTATGATTCTATGAACTGTGGTGTTAGAGGAAAGTTCTGAGAGTGCCTTGGACTGCAAGAAGATCCAGCCAGTCCAGACTTCAGGAATAAAGCCCGACTGCTCATTGGAGGGAAGGATATTGGGGGCAAAGATGAAGTGCTTCGGCCACATCATGAGAAGACAGGAAAGCTTAGAGAAGACAGCGATGCTGGGGAAAATGGAAGGAAAAAGGAAGAGGGGCCAACCAAGGGCAAGATGGATGGATTTATTTATTTACTTTGCTTCTATACCGCTTTTCTCAGCCCTTAGGCGACTCAAAGCGGTTTACATAATACAAAATCACAAGACAGTATCAAAAGCAGGTTAAAACACATTCTACATTCTACATAACAATCAATATCAAAAGACAATCATTATCATAATCATATCATATCGCCTCAACAACAAATCAGAATCCTTTCTCGTAATCCTTTGTTCCATATTCCTATGTTCGATTGCACCGTGTTCTTATATTCCATTGCACTGATTAGCCAAACGCTTGTTCGAAGAGCCAGGTCTTCACCTTCCTCCGGAACGCCAACAGCAAGGGGGCCTGTCTGATGTCTGCAGGTAGGGCATTCCACAGCCGAGGGGCCACCACTGAGAAAGCCCTGTCTCTCATCCCCGCCAAACGCGCCTGTGACGCAGGCGGGACCGAGAGCAGGGCCTCCCCGGACGATCTTAATGTCCTGGTCGGTTCATAGGTGGAGATGCGTTCGGAGAGGTAAGTAGGGCCGGAACCGTTTAGGGCTTTATAGGCTAACGCCAGCATTTTGAATTGTGCCCGGTAGCAAATTGGCAGCCAGTGGAGCTGGCGCAACAGGGGAGTGGTATGCTCCCTGAGTGCCGCTCCTGTTAATAACCTGGCTGCTGAGCTCTGGACCATTTGAAGCTTCCGAGCAGTCTTCAAGGGCAACCCCACGTAGATGGGATCCTTGAAGTGACTGGATTGACCTTGAAGGAGCTGGGGGTGGGGACGACCGACAGGGAGCTCTGGCGTGGGCTGGTCCATGAAGTCACGAAGAGTCGGAAACGACTGAACGAATGAACAGCAACAAATAGGCTGACAGCTTTGACTTGCTAGTAGGGACAGATTCCACCTCCTTCCTTCCCCGCAGGCGCCGAGGGTCCCAGGAAAGGTTGGCTTTCTGAGAGGAGAAATGGCTCGCTGGGATTGGCTGGTCCCGGGTCGCGTGTGCAGGGCAGGGGGCGGGGCCTCTCGCTGAGTCGTCACCGACGCCTTGGTCGGTCACTGTGGCGCCCCATTGGGAAGGGAGGAGTTCCGCGCGCGCCAGGCCACGCCCCCTCTCGCCTTCGCTCGTTCGCTCGTTGCCCCCGGCGCGAGGTCCAAGATGGAGAGAGGGAGCTGAGGGCGCAGGTGAGTGGCCCTTCTCCCCTCGGGCTCCCGGCCCTTTGGCCTCCCCCTTCAGCCCGTCCTTCCCCTCAGGCCTCTCGTCCTTCCCCTCAGGCCTTTTGAGCGTCTTTGGCTTTAAATCCTGAGGAGAAACAGCACGCCCAGGTGCCTCGGGCCCTGTAGGCTTAGTTATGATCGCCTTGGAAACACAAGGGGGAGAGGGAGAGGGAGAGGGAGAGCCTCGTCTTGAGGGTTTGCCCTGGCTGGCAGGATGCCATCTGATGGAAGGGGCAGAGGTCAGCTTCGTAGGCATTTTGCTATTTATCAGGGTCAGAAGCAAATGGAGAATACAGTCATATAATGTATAGAAAAAACACAAACTGAGTTAGAAACTTGGCATTATTCCATTATGTCTCAGTAGCCTGTAATTGTGCTTAGTATAACATTTTCAAAGCGGTTTCCTTCTCAGAGAAGTAGAAGCTTGGCTGAATAAGAAAGAAAAGCTTGAAAAAGTTATTCCCATATTTATGGTTACTTTGGGTTTGTAACGCTTATTTGCTCAGAGGTGTAGTTCTTCTGATTTGTTTTACTAAAGTTCTCAAATACTGCTAGTAGAAACCTAAATCAGTGGATTTTATTTATTTATCGTGTCATCAGCAACCATACCATTGTATTACATTTCTAACAGAACACAACAAACAAACAGGGGGGAAAAAGCACAAATTTTGCAAACTTGGCAGTTGATTAAATGTCCTTTGACTAGTATCTGGCCACTTGGAGTGCCTCTGGTATTGCCTCAAGAAGGTCCTCCATTGTGCATGTGGCAGGGCTCAGGGTGCATTGCAGCAGGTGGTCAGTGGTTTGTTCTTCTCCGCACTCGCATGCCGTGGATTCCACCCTGTAGCCCCATTTCTTAAGATTGGCTCTGCATCTCGTGGTGCCAGAGCCCAGTCTGTTCAGCGCCTTCCAAGTCGCCCAGTCCTCTGTGTGCCCAGGGGGGAGTCTCTCATCTGGTATCACCCACGGATTGAGGTGCTGGGTTTGAGCCTGCCACTTTAGGACTCTCGCTTGCTGAGATGTTCCAGCTAGTGTCTCTGTAGATCTAAGAAAACTATGTCTTGATTTAAGTCGTTGACGTGCTGGCTGATACCCAAACAGGGGATGAGCTGGAGATGTCTCTGCCTTGGTCCTTTCACTATTGGCTACTATTTCCCAGCGGATGTCAGGTGGTGAGCTGGAGATGTCTCTGCCTTGGTGGAGAAATGATATTATAAATGATATTATGTGATAGAACGGGTAGGGTTAAATTCAGGGGTGTTGTTAAGGGAAGACAAATGAGGGCATTGTTCTCCCAATTGGGGTGAGCTCCTGGCCTTTAGCCCAGCTTCTGCCTACCTAGCAGTTCAAAAACAAATGTGAGTAAATAAATAGGTACTGCTTTAAAACAGTGGAGGCATTTAAGGCACCCATAAGGAAATGCCAGAAAAATGCCTGCGATTTGATCAAGGAGAGAGTTTATGAACAAAGCTTTTTGGCAGGGAAGATGGGGCGACAGCATACATCGAACAGAAATGTATGTATGTAAATCTAAATAGACTCTCAAGAGAGTAATATACAACAGTATTCTGTGTTCTCTATAGGCATAACTTGTCTGAGACTTTATGACATAAAACAAAAATGTTATCAGCACATTATCATAGAGAAATAAACAACAGACTAAAGATAATAAAGTCCATCCATTCAGTGAAGGAATTCAAAAGTCTCTATTTTTATCTTCAAAAGAATTCTTCTTTTGGCAAGACAGTCTCAAGGAATTCTTCTTAGGCAACACAGTCTTTCTTAGGCAACAAAATCTCTACAAGGTCTTCCGGTATGTTATCCTTGTTTCGAACARATATCTTCCTCAGGGTGTAGTCTGTTATAATATTATGCTTAGTGCACTAAATAGGGAGTAGAAATAACATACACAATAGATACATGAAACTCCCAAAATAACATTGCTAGAAAAACATTTTGTAATATTACAAAATGTTTTTCTAGCAATGTTATTTTGGGAGTTTCATGTATCTATTGTGTATGTTATTTCTACTCCCTATTTAGTGCACTAAGCATAATATTATAACAGTCTACACCCTGAGGAAGATATTTGTTCGAAACAAGGATAACATACCGGAAGACCTTGTTGAGATTTTGTTGCCTAGAAAGACTGTGTTGCCTAAGAAGAATTCCTTGAGACTGTCTTGCCAAAAGAAAGACTCTTTTGAAGATAAGAGACCTTTGAATTCCTTCACTGAAAGGATGGACTTTATTATCTTTAGTCTGTTGTTTATTTCTCTATGATAATGTGCTGATAACATTTTTGTTTTATGTTATAAAGTCTCAGACAAGTTATGCCAATAGAGAACACAGAATACTGTTGTATATTACTCTCTTGAGAGTCTATTTAGATTTACATACATACATTTCTGTTCTATGTCATTATAGATACTTGTGCATTGTTTGCGACAGCATACATCCCCTCCACCCCCCATGGCCAGAACTGAGTACAGCCTCCAAGATGCTGAGGATAGGAAAGCCTATATCAGTGGTTCTCATCCTGTGTGTCCCCAGGTGTTTTGGCCTACAAATCCCAGCCAGTTTACCAGTTGTTAGTATTTCTGGGCATTGAAGGCCAGAACATCTGGGGACCCACAGGTTGAGAACCATTGGCCTATATATACCTCTATCTGTGTACAGTTGTCTGTCTTGTCAGTGTATAATGGCATTGAATGTTTGCCGTATACATATGTGTTCTGTGAGTCCCCATTGGGGTGAGAAGGGCGGAACATAAATGCTGTAAATAAATAAATAAATAAATAAGCCAATTGACCAAGAACTGGCCACTTGGAGTGCCTCTGGTGTGGCTGTGAGAAGGTCCTCCATTGTGCATGTGGCAGGGCTCAGAACAGCTTTGTAGTAAGTAGTCTGTGGTCTGTAGTAAGTAGTCTGTGGTTTGCACATGTCATGGACTCCACTTTGTAGCAACAACAACAAAACTTTATTTATATACTGCTCTGTCTCCCCGAGGGGACTCAGAGCAGTTTCCAAGTAACATCATCAATACACACAGTAAACAACATAAACATAAAATTAACAAAGCAATATAAGCACAAAAAACCCACAATAGCACATACATATTTTATATATATATATATAGCACCATTTCTTAAGGTTAGCTCTGCATCTTGTGGTGCCAGAGCGCAGTCTGTTCAGTGCCTTCCAAGTCGCCCTGCCTTCTGTGTGCTCAGGAGGGAGTTTCTCATCTGGTATCAGCCACTGATTGAGGTTCCGGGTTTTAATCAGCCACTTTTGGGCTATTGCTTGCTGAGGTGTTCCTGTGAGTATTTCTATAGATCTTCGAATATTATTTCGTGATTTATTTATTTATTGTATCAGAAATGAACTGAGAGTACAGTTGTAAAGTATTTAAAAAACACAATTTTTTAAGAACATCACATTATACTAAATGTATTGTCGAAGGCTTTCATGGCTGGAATCTCTGGGTTGTAAGTTTTCCGGGCTATATGGCCATGTTCTAGAAGCATTCTCTCCTGACGTTTCGCCTACATCTATGGCAAGCATCCTCAGAGGTTGTGAGGTCTGTTGGAAACTAGGAAATTTGGGTTTATATATCTGTGGAATGTCCAGGGTGGGAGAAAGAACTCTTGTCTGTTGGAGCTAGGTGGGAATATTTAAGTTGGCCACCTTAATTAAGAAGTCTATATATAAGTCATGTTTCATAATCCAGTACATATGCAGATGTTGCTGGGCCCATTTATTTATTTATTTATTTATTTATTTATTT